GGCAGGGACAGCTGGCCCCTGAGAAGAGGCCGACCACCCGAGCTCAGGGAACAGTGAAGAAGTGTGAGAGCCCAGCCGCGACCCTTTGGGCGCACAACGAATTGCCCAGTTTTGGGGGCAACGTGCTCCTTGCCCCGGCCGCTCCTGCGGTGTACGTCCCAGCCAAACAATCTGCTCAGGTGGTTCAGCCCCCGGAGGAAGCATTGCAGAGCAAGCCAGGATCTCAGGCTGGAAGCCTCCCATCTGAAAATCTGGAAAACCCTCCCAAACTGGGGGACGAAGACGTCCTTTGCTCTCAGGGAAGTTTGGGCTATGCCAGCCTCCTCTCCTCCCCCCCGACGGAGACGCTGCAGAACAAGCCAGTCTTGCTGGCCCAGCCCACGGTTCCCTCTCTTGCCAGTCAGCTGGGCCAGCCTGGGAAGAACCATTCGGCAAAGGATCTGGGTACTAGTGGGAAGAACAGCTTGTCTGGCGAAAACCTGCCTAGTGTTTTAGTTCACTCGAATAGCAGTTTCTTCCACAGCCCGCTTAGCACTGCTGAAACCACTGCCCCACAATCACTGACTCAGTCCGTTTCCCACGCCCCACTCAGCTTGACTACAGAAGGCCCGCAGCCCCCCGCTGCAGAAGGGCTGCCTTTGGAAAGTGTGGCCAAACCTGAGGCCAGCATTTCTCTCTCCCGCATCAGCGCCGTGATTTCCACTGCAGGGTCCAACAGCAGCCTTCCTGGTCGGTCTCAGAATGCTTCAGATAGCCAAGAGTTTTCCCAAACTCTGGATTTTGCAGGAGCAAAGTCTCAGGAGCAAAGCAGGGCAGGAGTTGTTCCTCAAGGACTCAGCCAGCCACTTTTGGGCAGCCAGATGTTTCCTCTGCCCCCCGGACTTGCTGGCCCTGGGGAGCCCCGGGCTCGTGGCCCGCAGCAGTTCTATCAGCAGGTAACAAAGGACGTGGAGCCTGTGGTGCCCTCAGATCAAGGCACGCCCTTGGTGCAGGCAGTGCCAGCCGCCGCTGCCGCAGCCTCACCCCCAGCGGCTTCTTGGCACTCTTCCGCTCCTCCCAACCTCCAGATGCCTCCTGGAAACAATCTTGCTCAGGTGCTGAGTCCAAAGCCTGGCCCCAGCGGTCCCTTGGAAGGGAGTTCAGCCCTGCCACCGGCCAACCACCCTCAGGCCAGCGCTGACTTCCGGCAGGGTCCCAGCATCGCCCCTGGTGTTGGCCTTCCCCCTGGATCAACAGCTGCAAGTGGTGGCCAACCCGCTCGTCCCCCTTCACGCCAAGAGCAGCAGTATCCGTCGTCTTCACAGAACCCCCAGCACCCCTATGGCCTGCCACCCAACTCCTACTACTACTACCGGCACCCGTATGACAGCTACCCCTACCCTCCTGTGGATCCTAGGGCTGCTCAGCTGTACTACCAGGTAGAGTAAAACGTGCTCTGCTCCTGTTCAGCCATTTTCCTGGAGGATGCCCTCAGCTGGGACTGTAGGGGGGATCCTGGGTGGGGTGGACAGAGATTTAAGATGTTATGCCCACCCAGTGGGATTTGTTCAGTGGAAACCCTTCCTACCTGGAGCAATTGTAGATGCCATTTTGTGGACTAGGGATTTTTACTAAAGGTCAGAATCATTGGTCAGAGAGGAGGAGGCCTTCCTTCTTCTGCAGCCTCCTCTGATACGGCCTCCTCCAGAGGTGTAAGAAAGCGATAATCCAACCCATCTGGAGGGCAGATGGTCAGGGAAACCTGGTTCTCCCAAAAAACCCAGAGAATTCCGGTCCTGCGCTGCCTTTGAGTCTGAGGTGCTTCAGGGTGCCTCTTGAAGGGGCCTGAAATTGTATTTGTCTTTTGGCAGCTGGGATCAGCAGCCAGGTTATTTATAAATCAGCTTATGATCATTTAAATGTTGCAGTTTCATCTCTGGTTTTTTTCTGCCCACTTCTGTAACTATTGAGGTCACCTAGAATTTTGCTTTTGCCTTCTTTATTGTTTGTTTATTTATTTATTTATTCAATTTATATAGCCTTTGACCCTTAGTTAACTTGGAATCGCATCAGCTGGGAAAGGAGGGTGACCAAAGTCTGGCAAGTTGCTCAACTTTGGCAAGTCTAAGATGTATAGACTTCAACTCCCAGAATTCCCCAGCCAGCCATGCACACTGGGCTAGACTCTTGAAGGTGTTCCTGAGTAATGTAACCTTTCTTGTTTCTTGGAGGATTTGTATGGCCAGTACAACTCGTCCTACGGTCAGTACGACAACACTGCTGCCTCTCGAGATCCTGGGAATTACTGGTACTCCGAGCCTGAGCGCCCCAGTTCCAGAGCGAGCCACACTTCAGAGAGGCCATTGTCAAGGTATGCCGATATCCCGTGGTGACGCATGCGTCTTCTTTCTCAAAGATATTTTGCAAAAGAGGGAGGGAGGAGCCGTGAATGCTAATATAAATGTTTTTATCTGGCTTGCTTTGGAAAATGTATTCCTTTTTCAAGGACCAGTCAGTTCACAGACATTCCAGAAGAGTCCTTGAAAAAGGAATATATTTTCCAAAACCTGGGCCAAATAAAGATACCTTTACTGGCCCTTGGGATTCCTCCCTTTCTCTTAGGGCACATTAGTGCCTCCCCCCTGCTCTTTCATCAAAGATAGTTTATCAGTTTTCTGGTGGCTCTGCTTAAATTTGGCCTACCTGACACATTGCTGGCTGCAATATGGCTCAAGATCCTTTTCTCCTTGCATTCAATGGAGTACTGTTAGTACCCCTTCATTTGTGCAATACCTTGTGAAGCTAGATGCTTTAGAACAGTGTTCCTCAACCTCGGCCACTTGAAGATGTGTGGACTTCAACTCCCAGAATTCCCCAGCCAGCCAT